GGGAAGAAATACTTCAAAACCATCAACAACGGCCCTCCACTTGGTAAACATCAACAGAGAGAACTAGAACATCTGAGATCCACTAGGCCCACTGGTGATATTGTAATGTACATCAGACGGACGCACTGATGCTAAGCTAATGGTAAAGCACTGGAGCCAATAACCAGGACAGTCCTTAAGATCCATGTTTCTCAAAGGCCACTTGTCATGGTGTAATGTACATCAGAGGGCCGTGGCGCACTTATGCTGACACTAATTTTAAAGCACTGGAGCCTGTGTTAGCAGTGGTGCATCTGAGGTAAAAAGGAGAACTGGGACACTTGGTACTAACTTGCAGCTCTGCAGCCCAGAGGACACTGAGAGGTACAGGAGGAAGATGGACTCCCATGGTGGAGAGAGAGGGTCACCTCCTTTGCAGCAGTGGTGTCTTGTCCTGTCTAGTCCTCCTCATTTCCACTCTGACTCTCATTACATCATCTGATGGATAGTTACCTCACACACCAGCCATCCCTATAGGACAATACTCAGCATTATTAGCCTATAGGATGAGACTACTATAGATGGATAGTGACCCCTGACTGTGAGCCAGCTTTCCCATCACACCATGATCACAATCCATCATGTCCATGCCAGTGGGTCAGCTCAGCAGATGAGGTGATTAATGCAATTGCTGTGTTCATCAATAAAGACACTCTCAGCTGCCCTAAGCTTCTCTGGGTAATGGAGAGGCACAGCCAGGGCAGCGCTCTAGCCAAATGAGGAGGAAGCACTGTACCTGAGTGGGGTGGGGGTTTCTGAGTTGTCCGATTAATTTCAGCCCTGCCATACACAGTACTGTAGGCTACATACAGTATATGGATACTTTCAGGGTGAGGGAAGTGTATATTTACTGTAGGTATAAAATGATAGGGAAGATGTGTTGTCAATTTCAGGTGATACCTGTACATACAGTATAGCGTCATCTGCGGAGGCATTGGACTGATGTGATGGAATGATGGAGTTCTTACACACACACACACACACACACACACACACACACACACACGTCGTGTTGGCATCAAGGTTTATTATCCTTTATAATGTACAATATACAAAAATATAGAGTACCAAAAATTCACAGTGTCTAAAAGGCAGTGATTAAAGTCTACATCACATATCTAATAGTACCACCAGGTCAGTTGCATAGAAGGGCACCGAGCCAATCAGGGGACAGAGCTTCACAATGTGACATCCAGCTTGCCCAATCAAAAATTACTACAGGGCCAGGGTAAGCCAATCAGAGGGAGTCACCATTTAGGGGGAGCCAATCACAAACCAAGAAATGTGGGTCAGGCACGTGGGGAAAAGGAAAACCACTGGAGGGGTTGCTGTAAATCCTCTCAACAGCTTAATTACTTTGATCTAATTTGATCTAGCCAATGGACTATCGTAATACTTACTATACACTACTCAACATTTTCTGCGTCTTGTTCTTATTTGAAATTTTTAGGCAGGCCTTTTAAGTTTTTTTAAACTGTTGTGGTGACATTGATTTTGTATTAAACTGGCATGAGTGCTTCTAAAAGGACAGGCTGTCTTTGTTACTCCAAAGCCTTGTTTATACCTGGTGAAATCTTTTGTGAAAAGAAAATATCAGAATTGGGCTGTCTGTCTAAACGCAGCCTTATTCGTCCACTGTGTCCGCACTGTGACCAGATTTCCTGGTCCCTCACTGTATGAAAATTATTTGATGGATTTCTTTCAAAATAATATTCATTAATTTATTTTAAGACACATATTGATGTCATAAGTTAATGGTGCCACCTGTCAATAATTTTAGAAGGCGGGATAATTATGATTGAAATGGTTTCACTGTCCAGACACAATGAGTCCCTGACTACCTCCGGAGGTGGTCAGTAAGATCTGATCACAATCAGATCATAATGTGTCTTTTGATCGTCTATACCTGTCTGAAAATGTGGGCACAATCAGGATGTGGACACAATCAGCACAAAGCATGCATGTTAGCACCAGGTATAAACAGGGATTAAGATACTACATAGGATGTAGCTAAACTGTACATCTGTAGAAAGTTACAAAACAGCTGGAGAAGTTGTCCAGGCCTTAGTCAACCAGTCACATTGGCAAGCTCTATCCCCTTACAAACCCCATGGTTCGTGAGTACATAGCTGCTGCACTTTTTTTACAACTAAGGCTTTTTTATTTTTTAAACAGTGTTAGCTATACAACAATATACATTGACATTATACTAACCTTTAGATGTCATTAATGCTCTGCAGATCGAAGGCTGTCTCTTATGTACAGATAGAGCTCTCGTGCATATAGCGGAACTATAGAATTAGAATGATAGAATAGAATCATTCTATTTCTATGAGCGGAACTGAAAGCATTGCTGCTAAATTAGCATTCATTTTAACAGCAGGCATAATAATAAAATATAGCTCAGTTCTGTTTCTGAAATGCCCTTTATGATCCAAGCTTCACTAGAAATAGTGTTTCCTTATGAGGACTGCGCAGCTCTCGTTAACTTACAATGATTAACATCTTATACATGGAACATATAGAAACCCAGTGGAACATTAGGAGTGACATCATCATAATGTGTGAAAAAAATGCACATACCCCTTTACAGATCCCATTATATACATTCATATGTAAGAAATAATTACATTTACATTGTACAAAATACATACAGAGTTGTCTGTTCCTCTCCTCCTTCACGCTCACAGGCATACACATACGAAGCAAGCAAACATACACACTCACATGCACACACCCACGCACACCCACACACACACACACGCACAAGCACACAAAAAAACATTAATCTCATACCAAAGCATTTCTAAGCATGATTTAGCATTGTAAAGAGAGGGACACATTGATATTCGCTACAGTCAGACTGTGAATATTTGCTTCTACATTATTTTATTTTATTTGTAAAATCTTAGTGTTTTTTATAACCAAATCTCTATTTTTTATGTACTGAAATGGTGTGTTATACAAGGGTCCAGACCCTTTCACTTTTTTTATTTATTAAAACCTCTCAGTATAGTGATGCAGGTCTTTAGATGTTGTACACATGAAATTGCGTGATTCTGAACTTTATCCGCAACGTTATATTCAATTTTGTTGCGACTCGAACGATACAGCTTTGTCCATTTTAGCAGCAGGCTACTAGGAGAATGGAACAGCTAGATAGGGGAAACAGCTGGAGTCACACAAAATGGAATATAATGTTTCATGTGTACAACATCTAAAGACCTGCATCACTATACTGAAGGTTTTCAGTTTCTAAAAGGACGTATTTGAATGTTTCTGGAGCATTTGTTCATGTTTTTTCAGAGCTCCCGTACTGCACAACGAGGATGAGGTAGTGACTCGCTGGTTGGGGTATGTTTCTCAAAAACAAGTGAAATTGCAACAACAAAAAATGTCTGGACCCTTATATAACATGCCATCAAAAATAGAGATGTGGTTGTAATAAAGCAAAACGATCCTTTAATATGTCAGACACGTATTGGCTACTAAGCTGCTGTGATTTCTTTTTATGTTGTGGTGTGAAACTGATGAGAAACTCAAAAGTGAATCAGCTATCCCTTATTTGTGAAATAAAACATTTCCTCCTATCCTACTGCTCTCTCGAGCATCAAACAAATAACCTCCCTCATAATAATAGCTTATTATCCCACCTTGTAAGATATCATATAAAATCAGTTGCAGTCCAGTTCTGCACACTGGCCATATTTAATATGACCACTGAGCGGTAGGTAGGTAGGTATAGTACTCAGTAGAATGCATCCATTCCATTCTAGAACCAAGGGAATTCCTTCCAGAAGTCTTTATATCATCATAAAAAGAAGTAATAGAAAGTCAAATCTGACCCCACATGATCCCTTCTATTGTATACCCAAAGCATCCCAAAGCTGTATCCCATCAACTGATTCCAACTCAGTCAGACACCTCATCGCTCTAGCCCATGTTCAGATCATTCCCTGGGAAACAATGCCTTTGTGAAAAACCGATACAGTACATAACACAGCCAGCCTGAGGTGTGGGCCTTGTTTGGACATTAGCAGATAGAGAGATTCTCTCCAGCAGTGAGTATGTCTGTATCTATGTGGTCTAGTGTAGGCAGTTTTCCCATAACAGATCACCCGCTGCTATTCCTGGATGTGCCTCTGTTCCTCTGTTCCCCTGGTCCCCTAGGACCACTCCGCCACAGCGGAGCTGAAGTCCCAGGTTCTTGTCCTCCTCGTGTCATGTGATGAGGCGAGGTGAGCTGAGTGCATCCATCCACCTCCAAACAAAATAGAACTGATATTGATCTCTTCATCTCTTGATTTAATTGAGTTCTTTTTTTTGTTCCCTCCTGATTCACATCCACCATACTAAAGGACAGACACAATGATATGCGCTGGTAGGGTTGTTCTGGGTAACTGCTTTTGTTGTTGGGAGAATTCGGTGTTTATCATGGGGATGGATGCTGCAGACCGAGGGGATGTTGGTGTCATTGAGACTCATTCATAGAGGTGACCAGACAGACCAGGGAGGAGAGGTGGCGGCCATTTAGAGTTTTCTCCTAAGGCCAACTCTAGCCTCTCGGGACAGCAACACCTACACCTACAGTAAGGTGCTCAGGTTGTCATGTTCCACAGGGATAATTAGTTCTCCAACTCCATACTGTAGCTTATAGTGTCTTATAGAGTTCATCATTTATCTCGCCACCGAAGCACTACGTTGACACTGTGATGTCCAGTACTCCCCCCCCCCCCACCCCAAACTATGATCAAATTCCTGGCTGTACTTAGTGAGTCTACCCTTACACACCCCCCCCCCCCCCCCCCCCCCCCCCATGGGATAAAGGAGAGGGGAGCAAAAATGAGTTCCAGGTCAGAGGTTGTTTTCAGTCACCATGCCATCTGTCACCATGGTGATAGGGGTGGAGTTCAGTTCAGTCTGGGTGGGTGGGGCCTGGGCCATGGGGGAGGGGGGGTGTCTCAGCTGTTGTTATAGGTCCTGCAGGGGGAAGGGGAGGAGTCAGGCCTGTTGTAGTCATATTTGCCCAGCGCTGTGGGGTAGTAGGTGGTGGTGTACATGTTAGTCTGCTGCAGGGGCGTTGGGTAGAAGTTAGACCTCTCATCTGGGAGCAGGTTATTCTTGTTCAGGGTCTGGAGGAGGAGAGAAGAGTGTCATAACAGGTGACAGTGGCTACAAAATTAGACAAAAAACACTGATGGGTTGAAAAGGTACGTACTGTTCAGTAAAGTGTTTTTCTGGGTGAGGTGGGAAGAGTAGAGAAAACAGTCATAACAGTGTTATAACAGTGACATAAGAGTTTTATACCAGTGTTGTAACAGATGGGTTAGTTTACCAATGACTCAGACAGGAGCAATATCAATATATTAGACTCTTACAGGTTGAAAAGTGGGCAACAGTGCTGGGTACTGTAGGGTAGATTTCTAAGCAAGGTACAACACTTCAACAAATTTGATTTAGCAGTCAAACATCAAGCATAATCAATGAACAAATATGAGAGACATGAATAAATTACAGTAGGCACCTAAAAAACCTTTAGTCTGCATCCCAAATGGCACCTTATTCCCTTTATAGTGCACTACTTTTGATCAGAGCCCATAGGGAATGTACTGCAATATATAGGAAATTAGGTCCCATTTGGGACACACCCTTAATTTAATGCACTTGCACTTTAGAGGCAGGTCGTGGCGGCTAGAAGCCACAACACGCCGACGGAAGGAACACTTTACGGAGGCTGTTGAGTAATGTCATTTAGCTCTAGGCCAAACACTGCTCTGTAAATGAGTTACAGAATCAGTGAAATGCACAACAACGTCGGCCATCATGGATGAGGGTGGTGAGGGCCTGTGAAGAAACAACCGCATAATGTGATGGCTAGAGCAACAATAACAGCAGTAGTTCTCAGGTTGAGCCAGTGGCTCTAGCTAGATAGCCTGGTTTAACCAGACTGAATGCTGCGCTCAATGGTGAAACGTAGAGAAATCAGTTAGGATGCCAGGCTAATAGCTAGCTAGCTACCTGTCGTATGAAATATGCCTGGTCTGATCATTAACCTAATGAGACCCTGCTCTCACCATATGACTCTCATAATTAGGGCCCAGCATAAGGACCCAGCCTCAGCAACACGTTAGGATCCAGCCTCAATCAGCCACAAACACATCACTCAGCCAGCTGGTGGCTGACATCTTTAGAAAATAATCAGGTTTCCTTCTGAGAAGCAGCAACCGTCACCTGAGATAAAGAGCATCCTAGCATAATACTTGACTAATTATGGGGCAATAGAATATGCAACTGCAGTATGTATAGAAGGTGGATCATGATACAACGTTGGTCCTAGGGCTAACCCTGCCACATGCAGGGAGGGCAATGCCATGGTGGGACAGATCGATGAGATCGGACCATGGCTCACAGGAACACACAGATGTTAGGGCCAAGACGTAGGGAAGGTGGGGCAGGAGGGTGGCGCTTGATTTTACATGTATCAATATTGTTCAGCCAGCAACGATGTTTCGGCTGCTACCTTCCTCAAAAGATGCTGGTTCCAGCATTATAAACAGCAGTGGGAGTCCATGGCTACAACAGGCTAACGAGGGCCATTAATAAGGACTGAGACTGTGAAGAGAAAGTAGAGTAAGGAAACCAGATGAAGACAAATAAGACATACATGTTCTGAGCTCTCACCATAACTCATCCCCTGTACAGTAGTTCATGTAATGAAATAAACCTATGCATATGGAATCTCTACGTAGAAAATTGTGTTTCTTGGTGTGTGTATGCAAGCGCGTGTCTGCATGCGTGCATTTGTGTCTACGTGTGTGACAATCCTTGAATACCTGTGACAATACCTTGAACTCCATGGGCGTGTACTTCTCGTTCTTTGGTGTGGTGTTGCCCTTGTAGTTGAGGTGGTTGGGCGTGGTGGGGTGTATGACGGCGGACTCCTGCGAGGGCTTGTGGAAGCGCTGACTGTACATGTAGACCAGAAAGGACAGAAGGCCCGCCCCCAGGAAACAGGACACGCCTGTGGCTATCAGGTGCAGCGAGGTGAACGCTGGGAAGACACAACAAAGCAGACAGATGGGAGGAGGTCAGTCAGGATGTTTGGTTCACTTATCTGTGTCTGTAATCTGCCGTTTTCTCTCTTTCTGTCCTCCATCAGGTATTGTTTTGCAGTAAAATGGTGGTTCATTCAGGGGCAACAAGCTCTACCTCAGTAGTCTGGTTGATAATCTGTTTTTGGTGTCTTGCCAACTCCTATGGTCATTCAATAGCCACAGGAGTTGGCAAGACAGCACAAACAGATCGGGGACCAGGCTAGCAAAATGTTTGTTTATTCAAGAGCACCAAGCTCCTTCTTCTCAGTTCCCTTGGCGTCTTCCTGGAAACTGTCCAATGGTGTGGTGGCACAGCCTTTTCAAACCATTACCGTTCCCAGCAGGCTACCTACACCTCATTCTATAGGCCGTCCCCCCTAATATATATATTCCCCATCTGATGATTGGTTCAAAGGCTTGTGCCATCCTGATTTTCTCCAGCACAGTGCCTTCAGAAAGTATTCACACCCCTTGACTTTTTACACATTTTATTGTGCTACAGCCTGAATTTAAAATTGATTAAATTCCGATGTGTTGTCACTGGCCTAAACACGGTACCCCATAATGTTTTTTTTTATTAAACAAATTAATTAAAAATGAAAGGCTGAAATATCTTGAGTCAATAAGTATTCAACCCCTTTGTTATGGCAAGCCTAAATAAAAACATTTGCTTAAACAAGTCACATAATAAGTTGCATTGACTCACTCGGTGTGCAATAATAGTGTTTTACATGATTTTTGAATGACTACCCAACACATACAATCATCTGTAAGGTCCCTCAGTCAAGCAGTGAATTTCAAACACAGATTCAACCACAAAGACCAGGGAGGTTTTCCAATGCCTCACAAAGAAGGGCACCTATTGGTATATGGGTGAAAAATGTAATATCCCTTTGAGCATGGTGAAGTTATTAATTACACTTTGGATGGTGTATCAATACACCCAGTCACTACAAAGATACAGGCGTCCTTCCTAACTCAGTTGCTAGAGATTAAGGAAACCGCTCAGGGATTTCACCATGAGGCAAATGGTGACTTTAAAACAGTTACTGAGTTTGATGGCTGTGATAGGAGAAAACTGAAGATGGATCAACAACATTGTAGGTACTCCTCAATACTAACGTAATTGACAGAGTGAAAAGAAGGAAGCCTGTACAGAATAAAAATATTACAAAACATGCATCCTGTTTGCATAGTGGCGGGAAATAGGAGTGCTGAGGATGCTTTTTCACAAAAGTAGTGCACTGGGCCTTTACTAGTCCTGTATTAGCAGACCGATATAGCCCTCTGTAGCATGGGCAAGTATTTTTTTCTTCACAAATGTAGTGCACTGGGCCTTTATGAGTCCTGTATTAGCGGACCAATAGCCGTCTCTTATTTCGCAGCTCCCCCACCCCCAAACATCTTCCCGCGGCTATGCCTGTTTTCAACAAGGCACTGAAGTAATACTAAAAAAATGTGGCAAAGAAAGTTAAACTTTGGTCCTGAATACAAAGTGTTATGTTTAGGGCAAATCCAATACAAGACATTACTGAGTACCACTCTCCATATTTTCAAGCATAGTGGTGGCTGCATCATGTTATGGATATGCTTGTAATCGTTAAACTCCCCCACCCCCAAACGGAATGGAGCTATAAGCACAGTCAAAATCCTATAGAAAAAGCTAGTTCAGTCTGCTTTCCACCAGACACTGGGAGATGTATTCACCTTCAGCAGGACAATAACCTAAAACACAAGGCCAAATCTACACTGGAGTTGCTTACCAAGAAGACAGTGAATGTTCCTGAGTGGCCAAGTTACAGTTTTGACTTAAATCTACTTGAAAATCTATGGCATGACCTGAAATTGGTTGTCTAGCAGTGACCAACAACCAATTTGACAGAACTTAAAGAATTTTGAAAAGAATAATGGGCAAATGTTGCACAATCCAGGTGTGGAAAGCTCTTACAGACTTTACTAAGGTTGAATAGCGGGAACCAGGTTACCGAGATTGACCACCAAAAACCACTCCCTTATTTATATGAACAGCATGGTGTGAAATGGAACTGTTAACTGATATGCGATGTCTAAATTTGGCTTCTCTACGGCCTCTGCATGATGAATCAATGCTCAGGGTGGGGACAGACAGCCCATCTCAGTATGGAGCGCAGTTCACAATGCATGTAGACCTATCGTCTCATCATGGTAACTTTTTTTCTTGTGACAGGTAGGCCTACATTTGCTGCAGCATAGCCTATGCTACAGTAATATAAAGCCCGAATGAGCGTCTAATTTACCCATCTCCATCTGGCTTTCGGGGGTCACCCTGTTCTTTAATTGTAAAGATTATTTTTTAAATTGCAGCTGCAGAGTTTTAAAACTCTTTGGACGACATGGTTCCAGTAATGCCTGGCGAAAACCAAACTCTGCATTCCACAGTAAGAACATCATACCAAAGGTCAAGCATGGTGGTGGTGGTGTGATGGTTTGGGGATGCTTTGCTGCCTCAGGACCTGGACGACTTGCCTTAATAGAAGGAACCATGAATTCTGCTCTGTATCAGAGAATTCTACAGGAGAATGTCAGACCATCCGTCTGTGAGCTGAAGCTGTCAGACCATCCGTCTGTGAGCTGAAGCTGTCAGACCATCCGTCTGTGAGCTGAAGCTGAAGCGCAGCTGGGTCATGCAGCAAGACAATGATCCAAAACACACAATCAAGTCTACATGAAAATTGCTAAAAAGCAACAAATTGGAAGTTTTGGAATGGCCTAGTCAAAGTCCAGACCTAATCCCAATTGAGATGTTGTGGCAGGACTTGAAACGAGCAGTTCATGCTTGAAAACCCACATGTCACTGAGTTAAAGCAGTTCTGCATGGAAGAGTGGGCCAAAATTCCTCCACAGCGACGTGAGAGACTGATCAACAACTACAGGAAGCATTTGGTTGGAGTCATTGCAGCTAAAGGTGGCACAACCAGTTATTGAGTGTAAGGGGGCAATTACTTCTTCACACAGGGGAATAGGGTGTGCCTATACTTGTAACTTTGTAGGCCGCATGTGCTACACCAGAATCGTATGTTCTCTTCTGCTTTATCATGGTTTGAACGATGTGCGTAATTCCAGTCCATATAATACAGTATAATACAGTACAGTAATACAATTCACACTCAAAAAGATTAGCCTACTGGAGCTCGTTTCATTTATTTAACGAAGAGAGTATATAGGTAGCTACATCTATGGGCTTTTATGTTTTTCTGTCGTGCATAACGTGCAGTAGCCTATATCATATGTATTGGCTCATAACATTTATTTAATACTGTATATGGCTCATTAGGCATCAGGTTATACCAGACATATTTATATGCTTTATAATGCTTTTGAATGACACTTCTGGTTTTGGCAGGAAATACCAGGTTACCCGGGTGAAAAGTGATTTATTCTCGGGTTGGAACATTTGTAAAATACCGGCAATATATTAAACCCTAAGACTTACCCAGAAAGACTCACAGCTGTAATCGCTGCCAAAGCAGCTTCTACAAAATATTGACTCAGGGGTGTGAATACTTATGTAAATGAGTTATCAATTTGCTAACATTTCTAAAAACATGTTTTCACTTTGTCATTATGGGGTATTGTGTGTAGAGAAAAAAATCAATGTAATCCATTTTGAATTCAGGCTGTAGCACAACAAAATGTGGGGTAAGTCAAGGAGTACAACTAACTCTCGCTCTATCCCTACATCATCCCCCCCAGGTAGATTGTGTGTGTGTCCACGCACACAAACACACACGCACGATCACACATGCACACACGTAGATTGTTAATCCATTTACCTCCGCATTGCTGGTCCTTATCAAAGCCAGACGCAGGGAGAATCACTGCAACACAACACACAGACAGACAGACATGCAGAGATAGACACACAGTCAGCTACCAGCACATGCAGATTCTTACCACCCACAGACATAGCTGGAATCACCCCAAGACACCAAAGTAGACTTTGATTTTAACTGGTAGATGATATACTGTATACAGTACATACAGCACAAACAAACAAGCAAACATCATGAAACACAAATCAATGAATCATTTATCCAGTGGAATGTTGTAAATGTCGTGAATGTTGAATGTTGTGTAGCCTGAGCTTCTATGAAGTTTAACAGACATTCAAAGTAAAGCCAATCATTTATAGTTAAACGACGTCTGCCTTCCACTAATTCATCAGGATGGTAGTTTGAGGGAGAGCAATGGAGGGAAGGGTATGTTTTTAATTGAGACGCAACAATCCTATGATTATATTTGGGGCAAATTCCCCCCAGGCAGTGTCACACGTCATCCCAGTGACCTTACGATTTCCATCGCCTCGTCCAAAATTGCAATAAATTAGATGTGATTTGGCCTGCATCCCAAATGGCACCCCATTCCCTATATAGTGTACTACTTCTGATCAGGACACAGGGCTCTGGTCAAAAGTAGTGCACTATATAGGGAATAGGGGGCCATTCGTGATGCAGCCTTGGTGTTGTGACACATTAATATTAATTGCGAGAAGCCTTAATTTAATTCACTTGGTATTCTGGGCTAGTGAGTATGTCTTGTTTTGTCTCTGGCAGCCAGGCCCTGAAAGATCACTACGACTACGGCTAAAATAAAGGAAAAAACCTTAACAGACAGAGACATCAGAGGAGCAGTCTGAGAAGCCTGATTTACTGAGATTAGCGCTAATTAAGATAGAAGATAGGCAAGGCCTCTGTCTGGTGGGGATTGGAGGGGTTTTATATTATTTGGGGCAGTTTCCAGAACACTGATGGGTTTAAAAGCACTTTCAATTTAACATGATTTTTAGACCAGGAAATGGCTTATTCTGAAAACTGGCCCTATGTGTGTGATGATACGGCTAATTTCAATGTGCGTCTATGTTACATAATGGTGATGATGCTGATGATAAAGGAGTGTCGGACTCACCTGGGATCTCATTGCAGTCCCTGTGCTCGGTGCTGTTTCCCACACAGGGGGCGGAGCCTTGAGCCCCACATACCCTGCTGCGTACCTGCAGCCCTGCATTGTCACACGCTGACCACAGAGACCAGGCCATCCAGCCGCCTGCACACACACACACACACAGTGACTGTCAGTACACAGACAAATGACCATGGACTCACCCTGAGTTGAAGTAACTGCTGCAGTCTTAAAATGCCTGGAACCCAACATGCCCACCCAAGAGCATGAGACAAACAAACAAACTAGCCCCACCACAGCACAGCCACAAACAACCCTAGCCATATACAAACAGACCCAAATGTTTGTGAGGTAATGAGAAAGCAAACCCATAGTTTGTTTAGTGCATAGCCGAGATGTTTGTGTCCAGAGCCAAGCTTAAGTCATGTTTCCTGGCCGGCAGGCGCTTGTATACAGTAAACAGAAAAGATCCTCTCCCAGTTTCCCAACAAATAATGACAGAACCCATTAATCCAAAGAAACTGTACATATATAAGGCTCTATGACAGCAGCCATTTTGTTTACCTCTCTTATCAGTCAGAGACTCAGTCACTGGCTGCTGAAGCTGCTCCGTCTGCTCTTTGATCTCCCACAACCCGTGTTGGTAGAACGACAGAATACAACCCCCATGGTAAGGTGTCCATATTAGGATGGTATCCATATTCGGACAGCCTCAGAGTCACAAGGAGTTGGTGGCCTTGTGACTCTGAGCCTGTCCTAATATGGACACTGTACTGTCGCATAATATCACATTTGTGTTTAATAATGCAGCAAACCAGCCCTCTTACTATAATTGCTTCATATATTTCATTCATTTATTTACGTCCCTCAACCAAACCAACGTGTCTGAGCTGTAGAATTGGATCAAGCTAGAAATAAAATCCTGAGGCACCTCTATTAGCATTCACTGTAATAACGGTCACACACGCATGCACGCACACACACACACAAACAAACACACAAGCACACACACACACACCTGTCCTCCATTAGTTAGCACAATCTCTTTAGCCATCTCAGAAAGGGCCATCAGATAGGCTGGGGACTGACAGACACAAGGCCTTTTGGCTAATTGGAGGTGCACTGTATCTGTAGGGAAGTGAGCGAGGATCCATGCATAGATGACCAATGTCCTGCCTGTCAGTAAATGTACCATAGCCGGAGACAGATGAGATGGCCACGTCATTAGCATGGCAAACTGTGGACACAAGCACAGGCAGCTGTGCAGGCACACACACCCTTCTAACGGGAAGTGTTTGCCCTACGTCAAAAGAGAACATTAACCTGAGGAAACGGGCTGATATGCATCAAGACTGCATCCCAAATGGCACCCTATTCCCTATATAGTGCACTACGTTTGACCAGGGAATACTATTTAGGGAATAGGTTGCCATTTGGGATGCAGTCCAAGTAAAAGAAAGAAAACAATTCCCTTCCTTGTCTGTAATTACTGACTGACTGACCGACTGACTGACAGTTGGGCTAATTCAATATGAATGACCTTTTGGTCTTTAGGAAGAAGACTATTGATAAAAGCCCTTGTTCTTTCCTGACGCTGTGGTCAGTCTCAGTTTATAAAGAGCACAGTGCATGCACACACACAAGGCCACACGCCACAGCAGCAACAGAAGAAATATTGACACTGGCTAGCAAATTCCAGGAAATAAAGAATGGATTAGGATAGGAATCAGATAAAACAAAAAAGAAATTCTTTAGAAACGGTGTCTCGTCTCTCATTAGGGCTGTGGGCTTATTCAGAGAAACGTCTGAGAGTAACTTTCTACCCAGTCCAGGATTAGCCGGCTCAGAATCACACATATGACAGTGTCCTATTGGGAGCAGAGCCACTACACAGAGGAACACACAGAGCAGAGGGCCAAAAGGTACACCACCGGTCTGTACCCCCACAAGGCTGGCACTGAGGCTGCAAAAGAGAAGCAGCAGACAGGCTTGGAACTCCATTTCAAAGCCCTCTCTGGAGCGACATAACAAGGTGTTGATTGGCACAGTATTGATCAGTGAGTAATTATCATGATAGACTAATTGTAATGTATTGATTAGAGCTAATGATCGTCCTGATGTAAAGGAAGCGTGTGACTCTGATGGATGTGTTGGGGTGGTGTTGGGTGTGATGTGTGATGTGTGTGTGCCTTACCGTCACAGGTGTGTGTGTTGCACAGCGCTTCCTCAGTGTGTAGCCCAATACAGATATCTCCTCCGTTGCCAGGGCTGGGGTTGTTACAGGAGCGGGTACGCTGGTAGTGCCCTCCACCACAGGGCACTGAACACTGAGACCAGGACGACCAACATGACCAGGCTCCACTCACTGGACAGGAACACACACACACACAAAGACAAACACACACAAGACATAAACATACAAGCAAGGCCAGATATCTCTCTCATCACTAACTAGGCAAAAATAAACATATGAAATACTATCCTCTTGTAGCTGCAATAAACAAAACCAAAGTCTACCCAGAGGACCAGATAGATTATCTACTTAAAAAACTACACTGCTGTCCATTGTCCCTACACAGCACCTTCCATGCCTAAGAATAACTCTGCTATGCTTAACCCCTCTATAAAGGCTTGCTATATTAAGTTTGTTGTCATTCCACTCACATTGAACAGGTACAGTCAGTCAGCATGCCCTTCTGAATGAGAGTGTTTGAGCTGAGAGAGTGAATGGTGAGGGGAGCGAGACAGTAAATAATGGATTTGACAGAGAGAGATGAAGGTGAGTGTTGAGTGGGTAGTGGAGGTGGGGCTGTAATGCCGTCCTCACCCCCCTCACCTCGTGCTCTAGAAAACTCAATTTACTTCAGTGGATTAGATAGTAGGGAGAGCGAACTGGGACGTGACTGCTTTGGTTGCCTCACACCCCTCTGGCTGTCTGTCTGGCCCCTGTGAATGCTGCATGGTGATGGGACTGGGGAGGACATTTTGGGGAAAGTGGAATATAAAGAGAGAGCCTCTCAAGAAAACCAGCAAACTTGTAAAATAAAGATAGATACATCAGGACCAGAGAAGTCTCCTTATAGCCATTTCTGTCTCACACTCTTCACCTCCATCTCAATCTTGTCAAATCTATTTTCTTCAACTATCTCCCTTGCCTCTCTCTCTCTCTCTCTCTCTCTCTCCCTCCCTCCCATAATATCCAACTATCAGACAGACAGACAGACAGACAGAGAGAGAGATGACAGACTCAAGGGATGATCATCAGTGATGCACCAACCATACAACATGAATACAGTCAGTCCACATTCCAGTGTTAAGAGCAGTTGTTATGAGCAGGGCTGGGTGGAGTTACCACTGGTTAAAGCAGGCCAACTGCATGATTAGGGGATGATGAGGTGCTTTAATTTAAACACTAGAATGACTCAGCTACTGTAACCAAGGACTCCTCGATTCTATTTTATTAGCTAATGGAACCAATGATCCCCTCAGCATAACTTTACAGGACTAGCATTAGCATACAGCTCTCTCGCTGGTGGTGTGTTAATGTGTGTATTATGCTAACCACAACTGGAGGTCATTGATGTATAGTTATGGAAGTAGTTTGTGTGTATGTGTGTGTATGTGTGTGTATGTGTGTGTATGTGTGTGCATGTTCTCTTCCCCTTTACCTTGGCAGGCCTGAGAGTTGCAGTCCTGGTACTCCACCGGTGAGCCCCTGCAGGCTGGCGGGGCAGCCTTGCCCTCTGGGGTGGTACAGGTGCGCTTGCGGGTGCGGTACCCCTTGGCACAGTCCTGGGAGCAGGCGGACCACGTCTCCCATGACGACCAGTCGGAGCCTGCTACTCGTAACACAGGGGTCCTTAGGAGTTCCTCCACTAGAGCTACCAGTACAGGAAAGGGTTAATACACAGGTTACTGGTCTACTCAATACACTGAATCCTTTCTACATTACACAGGTCATAGAGATAGAGTAGTATGATACCAGTGTATATCATATACGTGTATGGAATAGCTCACACATACAGGGGACAGATCACTGAGACCAGGGGATCAATAGGACCAGCCTCTCTTTATACTGAAACACACTCACACACCCATTCTAGTCCATTCCCAAGCTATTCAGGTTCTTCAATCCTGCCTCCATGGTGAGTCATACAACTGAAAAATAATCTCCTCTCTGTACTGAGGAAGTATTCTTACTTTATTCATATCTGTGCCATTACTCAAGTCAGCTCTGGTCTTATTCTGGGTAAGTCTGGCTAGACTGTGACACGTTGGGCAGTGCTTAAGTGTTTTACAGTGACCTCACTGACTGAATATATATACAGCAGACAGAGCCACCTGGCCAGACAGAGAGAGGGAGAGAGAGAGAGAGAGAGAGAGAGAGAGAGAGAGAGAGAGAGAGAGAGAGAGAGAGAGAGAGAGAGAGAGAGAGAGAGAGAGAGAGAGAGAGGAGAGAGAGAGAGAGAGAGAGAGAGAGAGAGAGACAGAGAGAGATACAGAGACAGACAGAGAGACAGAGAGAGACAGAGAGACAGAGAAAGAGTGAGAGAGACAGAGACAGAGAGAGACAGAGAGACAGAGAGAGAGAGCCCAGCCTTCCCTTCAGTCCTGTCCAGTCTAGACTGTATTTCCCGTTCAGAAGCAGTTAATCAGCTGCTCTCTGTGTCTGTCCTCCTGTCTGCCCACCCTACCTACCCAGCCCACCCTGGCCAGCCTGGCCACTGTCAGCCAGCTACAGTTAATCGATACAGTGAGCGGAGGGTGTAAAGCTGCCACCAGGAGAGAAGCATTGGACTGTGACCAGCAGCACTGCCTGCCTGCTGGGAGACCTACACACTAACACACTAACAGACACTAACACACTAACAGACACTAATACACTAACACACACTAACGCACTAACAGACACTAACACACTAACAGACACTAACACACTAACAGACTAACAGACACTAACACACTAACAGACACTAACAGACACTAACACACTAACAGACACGAACACACTAACAGACACTAACAGACTAACACACTAACAGACTAACAGACACTAACAGACACTAACACACTAACAGACACTAACACACTAACAGACACTAACACACTAACAGACACTAACATACTAACACACTAACAGACACGAACACACTAACAGACACTAACAGACACTAACACACTAACAGACACTAACAGACACTAACACACTAACAGACACTAACACACTAACAGACACTAACACACTAACATACACTAACAGACACTAACAGACTAACAGACACACTAACAGACACTAACACGCTAACAGACACTAACACACTAACAGACTAACAGACACTAACACACTAACAGACACTAACACACTAACACACTAACAGACACTAACACACTAACAGACAGTAACACACTAACAGACACTAACACACACTAACAGACACTAACAGACACTAACAGACACTAACAGACACTAACACACTAACAGACACTAACACACTAACAGGAGGATTCCTTCATCATGCTCTACATCACTGTACCACCCAGGGGGAGGATACTGCTGATGGGAGGACGGCTTATAATAATGGAACAGAGCAAATGGAATGGCATCAAACACCTGGAAACCATGTAATTGATACCACTCCACCTATTCTGCTCCAGTCATTACCACTAGCCCATCCTCCGCAATTAAGGTGCCACCAACCTCCTGTATACATACAGTACAGTAACTATTCAAGGGCAGTATTCCCACAATGGTCTGAGAGCCGTCTATAATATAGATTGAGAGTGGGTGGGTTTAACAGAGTGAAAATTATATTTAAAATTATATTTAAACCTGGGCCTGAACTCCCAACCCTCTGCACACCAACACAATACATGTCACTTGCTCAATGGTTGCTATTAGCACAACTAACTACCGATTCCACATCGGATACTCACTGTCGGTCTCGCAGGCAATCGTGCCGTCGTTGGGGCAGAAGCGGGTCTCTACTTTGCGTCGTCCGATCTGCAGCTCGTGGGGGTCTGCTAGCTGGGCACGGCACATGTAGCGCATTCTCTGCTCCTGGCGTGCCCCACCCTGGGTCACGTTGATGGGCATCCACGGGGTCCAGGGGGTGTTCCTCTTCACCTCTGGACACGCCTCCAGGTTACATGCCTTGTACTCCTGTAGGGGGGAGGGGGGAGGGGAAGGGAGAAGAATGAGAGAGACAGAGAGAAAGAGAGGTCATTATTATAAAAGCATAGCCGCGGGAAGTAGGGGTGCTGCAGCACATCCTGAAAAATCTGAATAAAAAAAAAATATTAATACAAAAAGATATATATATTTTTTAAAAAAAAAATTTTTTTCACAAAGTAGTACACTGGGCCTTTACTAGTATTAGCGGACGATGTAGACATCTGTAGTGCAGGCAAACATTTATATTCAGCATCTCAGCTTTGGCAAAAAAGGTAGTTGTTTGCAGGATTCAATAGTTGGAATTGTAAGAGTTGTTGCCCTGTCCCTTTCTCTGCAATTGTCATTCTAATGGCATCCAGAAAGAACAAAAGCCTGTCCTCAAACATTTACATCAAAAGGTGCAAAGTTATTGGAAAAGACACAAAACATCCACATCAAATTAAATATTCTTCTTTATCAAATAACATGGAAAACAACCACTTTTTGTGCAGTATTAATCTACCATCCTTACAAACCACTAAATGTGAATGTACATTACTGTATTGTACATAGGCTGGTCATCTAGGTTTGTCCCTGTAGACTTTCCATCACCATGAAGAAAAACATTGCAAAATACAGTAATTGAGTACATTGAGACATCAAGTACTCGACCCAGAGCATATCGGATTTTCTGCCGGAATCACTGAATCACTGGACCTTAACACCGGACCATCGCAACTAGCTAGCTGCAACCGAATGGCTGTTGTTGGCTAATCACCACTTCCCGATGTACCAGTTAGCCTTGAGCTAGCCTCGAGCCAGGCCCATCTCCCGGCTATCTACCTCTCTGTCAACCGGATGGGACCTCCTAGTGTCGACACGGAGCCCCGACGATCCATCACGACTGGTCTGCCGACGTAATCGTCTGATGTGGTTTCAACAGGCTTCCCGTTACGACGACCACGAAAATCCATCTGCTAGCCCCGGCCCGCTAGCACGCGCAATCAACAGCCGTGCCTCCTGCTCGCCTGTGATTTAGCAGCCTACGATCTGCTCCCGGACTTACTTAGTGCTGTTCACTGGACCTTATGATCACTCAGCTACACAGCTAATGCCTGCTGGACTGTTCCTTTACACGGTACCCCATACTGTTTATCTGTTTAGTCTCAGTCCAAACTTTCGTCGCCATTACCAGTTGTTGTCTTAGCCCTCTCGAATAACACCTGTGATTGCGTTATGCCTCTCTCCCATGTCAATATGCCTAGCCATTTGCTGTTTGGGTTAGTTCTTATTATACAATTTCACTGTAGAGCCCCAAGTTCAGCTCAACCAGCCCAGAGAGCTCCTTTGTCCCACCACCCATACACGCGGAGACCGGCTCAATCGGTACCTCCAGTGATGCTATCTCCTTCATAGTTACCCAATATCATTCCATATCCTTGTCTGTACATAATGCCCTGAATCAATTCTACAACGCCCGGAAATCTTCTCTGTACCCAATGCACTAGAAGACCAGTTCTTAAAGCCTTTAGCCGTATCCTTATTATATTCCTCCTCTGTTCCTCTGGTGATGTAGAGGTTAACCCAGGCCCTGTAGCCCCCAGTATCACTCCTACCCCCCAGGCGCTATCATTTGTTGATTTCTGTAACCGTAAAAGCCTTGGTTTCTTGCATGTTAACATCAGAAGTCTCCTCCCCAAGTTTGAGTTATTCACTGCGTTAGCACACTCTGCCAACCCTGATGTTCTAGCAGTGCCTGAATCTTGGCTTAGGAAGGCCACCAAAAATTCAGAAATGTCCATTCCGAACTACAACATTTTCTGTCTTGATAGAACTGCCAAAGGGGGCGGAGTTGCAATCTACTGTAGAGATAGCCTGCAGAGCTCTATCATACTATCCAGGTCTGTGCCCAAACAGTTTAAGCTTCTACTTCTAAAAATCCACCTTTCCAGAAATAAGTCTCTCACTGTTGCCGCTTGCTACAGACCCCCGTCAGCCCCCAGTTGTGCCCTGGACACCATATGTGAATTGCTTGCCCCCCATCTATCCTCAGAGTTCGTATTGCTTGGTGACCTAAACTGGGATATGCTTAACACCCCGGCCGTCCTACAATCTAAACTAGATGCCCTCAATCTCACACAAATTATCAAGGAACCTACCATGTACAACCCTAAATCCATAAACATGGGCACCCTCATAGATATCATCCAGACTAATTTACCTTCTAAATACACCTCCGCTGTCTTCAACCAGGATCTCAGCAATCACTGCCTCATTGCCTGCGTCTGTAATGGGTCTGCAGTCAAACGACCATCCCTCATCACTGTCAAAACGCTCCCTAAAACACTTCAGCGAGCAGGCCTTTCTAATTGACCTGGCCCGGGTATCCTGGATGGATATTGACCTCATTCCATCAGTAGAGGATGCCTGGATGTTCTTCAAAAGTGCTTTCTTCTCCATCTTAAATAAGCATGCCCCATTCAAAAAATGCAGAACTAAGAACAGATATAGCCCCTGGTTCACCCCAGACTTGACTGCCCTTGACCAGCACAAAAACATCCTGTGGCGTACAGCATTAGCATCGAACAGCCCCCGCGATATGCAACTTTTCAGGGAAGTCAGGAACCAATATACACAAGCAGTTAGGAAAGCAAAGGCTAGCTTCTTCAAACAGAAATTTGCACCCTGTAGCACTAACTCCAAAACGTTTTGGGACACTGTAATGTCCATGGAGAATAAGAGCACCTCCTCCCAGCTACCCACTGCACTGAGGCTAGGAAACACTGTCACCACCGATAAATCTACGATAATCGAGAATTTCAATAAGCATTTTGCTACGGCTGGCCATGCTTTCCACCTGGCTACCCCTACCCCGGCCACCAGCTCTGCACCCTCCGCTGCAACTTGCCTATGCCCCACCCCCCTTCTCCTTCACCCAAATTCAGATAGCTGATGTCCTGAAAGAGCTGCTAAATCTGGACCCCTACAAATCAGCTGGGCTAGACAATCTGGACCCTTTCTTTCTAAAATTAGCCGCCGAAATTGTCGCAACCCCTATTACTAGCCTGTTCAACCTCTCTTTCGTATCGTCTGAGATCCCCAGAGATTGGAAAGCTGCCGCGGTCATCCCCCTCTTCAAAGGGGGTGACACTCTAGATCCAAACTGTTACAGACCTATATCCATCCTGCCCTGCCTTTCGAAAGTATTTGAAAGCCAAGTTAACAAACAGATCACCAACCATTTCGAATCCCACCGTACCTTCTCCGCTATGCAATCTGGTTTCCGAGCTGGTCATGGGTGCACCTCAGCCACGCTCAAGGTCCTAAACGATATAATAACCGCAATCGATAAAAGACAGTACTGTGCAGCCGTCTTCATCGACCTGGCCAAGGCTTTCGACTCTGTCAATCACTGCATTCTTATTGGCAGACTAAATAGCCTTGGTTTCTCAAATGACTGCCTCGCCTGGTTCACCAACTACTTCTCAGATAGAGTTCAATGTGTCAAATCGGAGGGCCTGTTGTCTGGACCTCTGGCAGTCTCTATGGGGGTGCCACAGGGTTCAATTATCGGGCCGACTCTATTCTGTGTATATCAATGATGTCGCTCTTGCTGCTGATGACTCTCAGATCCACCTCTACGCAAACGACACCATTTTGTATACATCTGGCCCTTCATTGGACACTGTGTTAACAAACCTCCAAACGAGCTTCAATGCCATACAACACTCCTTCCGTGGCCTCCAACTTCTCTTAAACGCTAGTAAAACTAAATGCATGCTCTTCAATCGAACACTGCTTGCACCCGCCCACCCGACTAGAATCACTACTCTCGGCGGGTCTGACTGAATATGTGGACAACTACAAATACCTAGGTGTCTAGTTAGACCGTAAACTCTCCGTCCAGACTCACATTAAGCATCTCCAATCCAAAGTTAAATCTAGAATCTGCTTCCTATTTCGCAACAAAGCCTCCTTCACTCATGCTGCTAAACATGCCCTCGTAAAACTGACTATCCTACTGATCCTTGACTTCGGCGATGTCATTTACAAAATATCTTCCAACACTATACTCAGCAAATTGGATGTAGTCTATCACAGTGCAATCCGTTTTGTCACCAAAGCCCCATATACTACCCACCATTGTGACCTGTACGCTCTCGTTGGCTAGCCCTCACTACATATTCGTCGCCAAACCCAGTGGCTCCAGGTCATCTATAAATTACTTCTAGGCAAATCCCCGCCTTATCTTAGATCATTGGTCACCATAGCAACACCCACCCGTAGTATGCATTCCAGCAGGTATATCTCACTGGTCATCCCCAAAGCCAACACCTCCTTTGGCCACCATTCCTTCCAGTTCTCTGCTGCAAATGACTGGAACGAACTGCAAAAATCTCTGAAGCTGGAGACACTTATCTCTCTCACTAACTTTAAGCATCAGTTGTCAGAGCAGCTTACCGATCACTGCACCTGTACACAGCCCATCTGTAATTAGCCCACCCAACTACCTCATCCCCATATTTGCACCCCAGTATCTCTATTTGCACATCATCTTCTGCACATCTATCACTCCAGTGTTAATAGTAAATTGTAATAATTTTGCACTATGGCCTATTTATTGCCTTACCTCCATAACTCACTACATTTGCACACACTGTATATAGATTTATTGACTGTACGTTTTGTTTATTCCATATGTAACTCTGTGTTGTTGTCGTTTTTATCGCACTGCTTTGCTTTATCTTGGCCAGGTCACAGTTGTAAATGAGAACTTGTTCATTTGATGTGATGATGTGGCTCAGTTGGTAGAGCATGGCGCTTGCAATGCTAGGGTTGTGGGTCGATTCCAAGAGGGGACCAGTACAAAAATGTATGCACTCCCTACTGTAAATTAGACCATTTCAGTTTTCACATAGAAATAAGTTGCGGTTCTAGCGAGTGGCGCAGCGGTCTAAGGCAGTATTGCAGCATCACTACAGCCTGGGGTTCGATCTATGGGACTGTCG